CGGGCGTGAAGTCCTTCCAGAACAATGGGGGATTCGGGAAAGCGGAGGAATGGGCCTTCTGGCCTTGCTGGTCGGTGTTGTCACCCATGTTGCTGGAGCTGGCAGTCGGCAGATAGATAAGGGGAAGTCGGCTATCCCATGCAGTGATGTATCACTGCATCTCCGCAAACCGCGATCCGATACCGTCGTGTGGATATGATGCGTCGCGTGCAAGTGACGTGGGCTATCTCATCTGGAATGGAGGCGTTTTGCAACTGAGCTTGATCCAATTGCTTACTGGGAAGTGGTACCTTCCACCTGGCTGCGAGAGGTGCTTCAAGGGTGGAGGGGTCAATGGGCGTTGCGCCACCTTGGTGCCTTGTTTTGGTTTAGCGCCGAGAAAGCTACCTGCACTGTACCCCAAGTGCCCAGGTGATCCTCATCTGACAGCTGCTGTTAGGTTCCCCCTCGTCAGCAACACAGCGTGGTGGTGACGACAAAGAGCGTGCACACTGCCGAGTTTACGGACAAGACTCGCCCCAGACTCATAGCGAGGCGTCGAAGAGTCTCGTCGCCCTAGCCGGACCTGCCCAAAGCCGAGAATAGTTGCAGAAAGGCTGTTTCTTTGGATTTAGCCATAACCAGCCATAACCGAAGAACCCCGATACCGACGCACATCGACTCTCTCGCCGGCCGTATTGACCGCCATTTCACATTCATGCAGCAAGTCGCCATGTCAGACGTCCGGGCCCTCTTGCGGCAGCAACGTGCTGCCCGTCGAATTGACCATCCATTCGCCGCCTACTCTGATGCTGGCAAGCTTCTCTGCACCCTTTGCCACGAAGCTGTCAAGGCCGAGTCGCTATGGGATGCCCATCTACGCGGGAGCAGGCACACAGATAAGTCTCAGAAGCTGCAAGCCTCGCAAAAGACAAGACCGACAACGATTGAAGAGCCGACGAATGGCACGCACAAGCGAAAACACGATGCAGACTTGGACGACGAGGATGCTACGATGGTCGATGCGACAGCACGCAAGAAGCGCAGTAGGAACGACATAAACACACGCGCTCGTTTGGGTTCGGAAAACAGCAGCGACAGCGCGGGCGAGACCTCGCGCGACCAAGAGATACAGCCGACAAAGGACCAGACGTTGACGCCCCCAACACTGAACAGGAGGACGTCCACGACGCCCGTCCAAGGCGGCGAGATGCTTATCCCATCACGACCCGCGACGCCTCACCACCGCGACGGCACCTCTTCTACTGCAACGCCCCTTGGTCCGTCGCCGCTCATTCCTCAAGACCCCATCGCGCCCTCCGGACAGCCCGACGACGCGGTGTCAACAGTGACCGCACAGCAAAAGGTGGACGAGGACGAGTGGGCTGCATTCGAGGCTGACATGGCGGCGGAAAGCATGCCCTATGCTGACGACGCCGTCATCTCTGCACCCGCCATGACTGCAGAGGAGCATGCCGCCAATGCGAGGACCGAGGAAGAAGAGCGCGAAAAGAGGCGCCTGGCGGCTGAGAAGGATGTGGCTGATGAGAAGGAAGAAGCGACGCGCGCGCTAGAGACGGAGTTTGAAGAGATGGAAGAACTCGAGGCGAGGGTGCGGAAGCTAAAAGAACGACGCGAGGCACTGAGAAGTCATGCTGATATGACCGACGCAGAAAAGGTGGAGCCACCAGCGCAAAAGGCGGCAGTCACCAGTCCAACTGGGAAAGGCAAAGGCGATGATAAAGAAGACGGCGAAGAGGAAGGGGAAGACGACGACGACGACGACGATGAAGACGATTTTATGGGGTTTCGATTTGGAGGTTGATATACGAAACCCAACTGATGACATGTGTAAACAAAATTGTATAACAAGCATATTGATTTGAAGACAGTCCAGGTGGTGCCCATTGTCTGGCATGGAGCGAAGTTTTGATCTGGCCTCCAGAGGTCACTACAGGCGACGAGGTTGAGAAATACGATGCGTGTACGATTAAGTGACTAGTGACTATTATAGGATGGCGATGGCCATTGTTATGGCAATAGCCATTACATGTGCGAAAATTCCAAAAGATTACAAACCTGGACCCAAAAAGTGACATAGAAAAGAAGAAGGAAAAAGCATCGACGGTGCTCCATCTCGCTGCCTGTCGCCTATCACCACAGGTTCATGAGCTTAGCGAAGGCCGCGCGAGGAGCCTTCGGCGTGCGCTTGGACTTGTAGGTCTGTCCGGAAGTGTACGCGGGCCCAGGGGCAACGCTTGTAGCAGTACCGTTAACGGTGTTGACACCAGCGGTCTGTGTTGCATTGGCGGATGACCAGACACCGCCAGTGGGGCGGAGAGTGGCGATGACAGTGTTGTACTTGGTCACGATCTTAGATGAAATGGAGCAGTCGGGCGTTTCCTCAGGAGCGCCCGTAGGGTAAACAGTGATGTGCTCGGTAGCGGTGCCATAGACAGTCGTGATGACGCAGGGCTTTCCCGGGTCATGGTGTCCACAGGGAGGGACCGATCCAGTACTGTTCGTCGGCACGGGGTAATGGGCCGACCTGGTACCGTTCGACGGCACAGGATAAGGGGCAGTGGTTTGGTAGCTGCCATGGCCGTAGGTGGCGTCGGCACTCTGATGGACGCCAGTGTACTTGTCCCCGTTATCGTGACCAGAGCCCTGCTCGTACTTGTGGTCGTCGCCATATGCCTCGCCGTCCTTGCCTGTCTCGCCACCGTAATGGGTCTCTTGTCCGTACGATGTTTTGTCGCTGTGTTTGTCGTAGGACTCGCTGTGTTCGTGGGACTCGTTGTGTTCGTAGGACTCGGTGTGGTACTCGGTGTGGTACTCGTCGGACCCATACTCTTGCTTTCCGCTGCTGCTGTAGTGAGCACCGCCTTTGCTGCTGTTATTGTCGTTGCCACCGCCATTCTGGTTGCCATCGTCGTGCTTGTTGCCCTTGTCTTTGCTGCCGTCATGGTCACCGTTTTCGTGCTTGTTTCCGGCATCGTACTTGTCGCCGTTGTCCTTGCTGCCAGTGCCAGTGCTGCCGTCGTGGTCCCCGTTGCCTTGCTGATTTCCATTGTTGTAGTTGTTCCCGCTGTGGTTGTTATCGCTTCCGTAGTCCCCGTTCTGCTTTGAGCCACCCGAGCCGGGTGTCGAGGTATGGTACGCCTGACCCTGGCCATCCTTTCCGCTGTCATGGCTGCCACCGCCGGATCCGTGATCAGATGCGTGATCCTTACCGGACTCTCCCTTTCCGTTGTAACTGTCCTTGCCGATGGAATAGTCGTTGGTTCCGTACTCATGCTTTCCGCTGCTTTCGTACCCAGATTCGCTCCCGTGGCCGGCGTACTGGTCCTTGTCGTAAGACGAGGAGGCCTGGGCCTCGTAGCCGTTATGGGTCCTCGTCACTGCGTCGTAGGCAGCCCGGGAAGGGTCGCCGCCATCGCGGTATACGTTGGTAGTGGTAGGGGGGATTTCGTAGGTGACCGTTACCGTCTTCTTGCCATCGTACTCGGCGTGTGTGTTGTACGACTGGTCATCGCCTTGGCGGATAGTGTGGATGACGGTCTGCGTCTTGGCCGGCTCGGTGACGGTGATGCACTCGGTGACAGTCTCCCTGAGGGTGGTGACGGCACCGTGGAGCGTCTCAGTCACCGTCGCGGGGTAGGCTTGGACCGGGGGACAAGGGCAGGTGTTTGGGTTTGTGTTGGAGCGAGGTCTCATGCGTTCCGGCCTGGCGCTTGATAGCGAGGCAAATGGCAAGAGCAGGAGAGGAATGCGGTACATGGTGGGCGGAGATACCGTTGAGCTCGGCGTAAGGTGCGGGATCCTCCTCTGGGGTCTCAGGTGTGAAGATGCAGTGTATGAGATCGAGACTCGAGATGAAAGATTGTGGAAATGGTTATATGACTTGATGAAGAGGCTGTTGTGTGATGAGACGATTCGAAAGGGTCAGAGTGCGGCGGCACGACTCTCTCACTTATACCACAATTCTCCTTACCCTCCAAGCAGGGAGTTTGGAGGAACTGACCGAAGGAGTCTGATCAAGGACCGTGATGGGTCCAGGCGCAGCTCACCCTTCCCTCCGCTGGCATCAAGGGCAGATGTATTGAGGCAATACATTGTGGATGGAAATCAGGGCTGCAGCCTGTGTTCGTCGCAGGGGATTGACGTTGGCATGCGAAATCCGCTACCTTTCAAGGAAGCAGTGAAGGGAAAAGAGGGAGGTCGCCGCTCCCCTTTCACAACCAACTTTTCAACGGGATAAATGGGTATCTTGAGACAAGACCATTGAGACCAATGGTATCCGTTGCAAATCTATGCGCAACCATGTGGAGTCGTGCAGTCCCTGGCGAGGGAGAGCGCGAAGCCCAGGGAGCCCACCAAATGGGCCATCTTGCAGCTGGAGATGAGAAAGACGTGACCCTGGGCCATGGCGAGAACGACACACTGGTACTGCGCATGACCGTCTGCAATCATGGGCGGCCATCGGGGCCGCTGAGTCGCCCAGTTGTGTTTCTCTTAATGAGCAATGCTGGACCCAACTCTCGGCGTGAGGAAGTGAAGTCAAAAAAGATAAGATCAGGGACAGGGTCACCCTGGCCGTAAGACTAGGTCGGTGTGTGCCTGAACCGCCTCCCTGGGAGCAGCTCTGTGCTGGGCATTCGGGCGTGTGCGGCCCGCCTGGTGTGTCAGCCAGCGGGCCGCCATGCCCCCTCCCCCCCTCCCCACCGCGTCATGTCGAACCAGGGCAGCAAAGTGGGGGAGGGTCTTCACGGGCCGACTTGCTTCCGACGAAGCCCGATGGTCCGACCTCTGACCGCCTGCTCAATATGGCCTTTCGAGGTGTCACAATTTCCGGCCTTGTCATGTGCTGCTTCAGCGACACCAACAGCAATCAGCAAAACACTCGGGCTTGCGCCGCCCCGAGATCGAATTGGCAGCCACCGCAGGCTGTTTGGCAGTCACTGCGCACCGTTTAGCAGCCCACGCGGCGCGTACCGTACTTCCAGCGCCAGATCGGCAGGATGGGCGTCTGCACTTCCTGCTTGGGTGGGAGCAGGAAAGAGGTCTTCGATGAGGTTTGTCGCCATACAGAAGTATTCAAGAGATGGCTTGCTAACGGTCGCTTGCGTACAGGACGAGGAATCGAGGCTTTTGTTCGACGACCCCAACGGCATTCACTATGGCAGCTTTGGCGACCAGAGCATGAGCGGCCAGGAAGACCCCGTCGAGGTGCAACGCGAGAATGAAGCCCTGCAGAGAGTTGTAGCCAAGACATCCAAGTGAGTCGTCCGCCTGTCGGCAGAGCCCGAAATCAAGAGACTTGGAAATCGCTCGGACTACACAACGTGAATGGCACAGCCAGCTGACGCGTCGTCCCAGCAACATGGTCGATATTTTTGAGATCGCCCCGCAAGATCATGCGGCGCGACCTGCGCCAGCACTCTTTGCGTATGCAGGACAAGAAGCCCGCATCGTTCGATATCAGCACCTGCTCTCCAAACTAGCCTCCAAGGACGAGGGCGAGGGTCAGGGCCAGGGCCCGGCGGGCGTTCAAGTGGATTGGCTTCCCCAGGAAGACACGGTAGACGTGCAGCGCCGTGCTCCATCCATCAAATCCGAGTCTGACGGTCCCCTCGTTGGCACCTTTGCAGATGCAGCTGCTGCGATGGCATGACGTGCTGCTTCGGGACAGAACATCGACACGTGCGCCGCACCGCCTACGGTCTGGTCCATCGTGGTCCGTGTTGGCCGCGGCTGCATCTGCGACTGCTTCTGCGACTGTTTCTGCGGCTACGGCTGCGGCTACGGCTGCGGCTACGGCTGCGGCCATGTGGCCGCTGTATTCACTCTTGTACATTATTTGACGTTGGACGATTAGTCCTTGGACATGCCCACGTCGCATCTTACTTACCGACAGTTCGGCACCGAGGGACGGGCCGGTGATGCGGCGAGGTGTTGACGATACCCCCGCCTGCAGGACGCTCGTTAGTCTTGCATTCTCCTTGAGTAATATTGGAATGCTAGGTGTTTCGCACAATATGAGGTCATGGAAATTGACGACACGAGAGAAAACATGTCGGGTTTACTCAAAATGGTTAAATCAGAAATCACCTCGAAGCACGCCCTAAGAGCCGGGCACACGCACCCCCTCTTGCTCTCCACCACACGCCACCGCTCGCATACCTTGCCATCGAAGTCCACTTGCTTGCCTCATCTGGCCAATCGCTTTGCAGGTCAATTTCTTCATCAACCCCAAGCGTGGAACGCACGAGTCCATTTAGCAATGACCACGTGCCCAGTCGGCTGATGGCGCTCCAATGTGGAGGTCCTTTTCGTACAAATGAGTGACTGTCCCCCTCTACCTTGGCCGGCACTCGTTGCCCCCAACCTCATACGGCCTGGCCCGTCGCCTGGCCCGTCGCCGGCTTCGGTCCACGCCGACGACTGAGACGCGGCGTAATTCTCGAATGAGCAGCGCGCGCGCGAAAACGGAAGACCACGAGCAGGGAGCAGGCATGAAGGGGCCGGGGTGCCATGTCCATGATTTGCTCGAGCCTCCCCGCCCTCTCAGGGTTGTGCGGGAGTCTGTGGGTTTCCCGTGGCTCATTGGCGGAAGCCAGGCGTGGGATGGGGATGCGCGAGGGGGCGCGACCGCATGGGTGACCGCTCACTGCGTCGTAGTAGTAGTAGTAGTAGTACCCCGATGCAAGCCAGTCGTGTCTTTCCCCCCTCCCCCTGGCTGGATCCTGCGAAAACTCCCAGGCTCCCTTCGCTGGTCCCACGCGCAGATGACAAGCCCTGTACCATTGCTATGAACCGGGTCTTGTCGCCAATATCGGCTTGCCCGGCGAAATTTTTGCGCAGCCAGACGCGGGGGCCTGAAGCCCTATGACCCCCTACGCTATATGCCGTAGAAGCCTTCTCCTTCGCCACCGCCTGCCCATACTGCGTGCTCGTGGACGAGAGCGTCTGCCGCTTCGAAGAGAGAGAGAGAGAGAGAAAGCAGGGGGGCTTGAGCACACTCTTGACTCGACTTAGGGACTGACTGGCGGCGTCTTGGGTTCGGTCTGGTCCCCGGCCAGAGCTGGTCAACTGCATTCCTTTCCCATGCTGCGGTGTCGTTCATCTCATTTGTCGGCTGTATCCGTTTTCTGCAGCGCGCTCCCTTGCCTGATAAGCGTGGCGACGACCATCGGATGGGTCGCTGTGCAGGACGAGAGAGAGGCTGGGGTGGTTTGGCGGTCTGCGCGGTAGGGGATTCGCCGTTCTTTTGTGAGCTGTTCCAAGCAGCTGTCTATGCTACGCTTGACACACTGAAGAACTGTTACGTTTCCAAGAACGGCTGGATCTTTGACCCTTTTTTATTAGGGCGTCTTACCCATAACTCGCGCAAAAGTAACCTTACACAGACGTTCCTCTCTCTCTCTCTTTCTCTCTCTCTCTTTCTCTCTCTCTCTCTCTCTCTTCTCGATACCTAATACAATGTGAATGCCACCCCCCCCCCCCATCTTCTCGCCGAAAAGAAAAGGCGAGGAAGAAGATGGAAGAAAGATTCCTTTCACATCCATTCTGCCCAGTTGTCTCCTTTCGCGACCCTTTCGCGATCCTTGATAGCCCGTCACCCCGTATGTGACGAACAAAGCACACAAGATCATGAGTAAGATAGCGAATGATGAACCACTACGTGGTTGTGTCTGCTCCCAGCAACCACCCCCTTCTTCCAGGCCCGGAAGATTGGAGTGCTGGGAAGCAAGGCCCCTCCCCCCTCTTCGGACCACACCCCCCTTCTGTCGTGTGGGTATGTCATCCAAGCCGGCTGGTGCCTCGTGTGATGCATTGAAGCCACTGTGACGCATCGTGTCAGTGTGCGCCATGTCTCAACTCGGGGTGGGTGTGCCCCTGATCGATCTTCTTCCAGAAGACTTACCTCCTGGGGCTTTCGGGAGGGGGTGTCCAGATCACGCCGCCAAATCCTGGCAGAGCACTCTCGCTTGATGTCGGTGTTCCATGTCCGCTTTTTGGTCCTCCACTGCCGTCAGTTCTATCAGCGTCCTCTCGATCGTGGCCTGTCGATTCCCTTCTCTGTACCACCTATCGATGTCCGTCGTCATTTTGAGTATTCGTCGATTCTTCTTGTCGATATCATGACACAGTTTGCACCGGTCCGCCTCCTGGACGGTAGTGTACACGAGCTTGAGCCCGCATGTCTCGCCCGTCCGGTATTCCTTGTTGCACTGCTGCTTGAACTGGCCCCATCTCCAATACCCACACGTCCAACGGGTCTGGTAGAAGTAGCACATGATCTTCCGTTCGTCGTCAGGGCTCGCCACTGAGGAAAGGGACCGAATGTGCTGCCGTGGGATTGTGTCAAGAATCTAAAGGGGCATGTGTCAACGGTGAAACCCAATCAAGCATAGGAATCCTCTCCCGCGTGCTTTCTCGCAGTCACATTGGGGGCTGAGTTGGTATGCTCGGGCGATGCAACTTACGAGAGTAGGTCAGACGCCTGACTGCGCTTTATTCGACTTGGTTCTTCTGGTGGCCAGGCGATCGGCGGCGTTTCAGCTTTTGGTGTACCACCAGGTCCGCAATTCGAACGTTTTGTTTTTTTTCTCGGGCTTGTTTCGTTCTCTGAATTGTAAGTTTCTCTACCACTCGTTCTCCACGCTTGCGGATCAGGGGCTAACTTATACTCGCCAGACAGCCAGCACAGAAGCACCGGGACCCGCACGATGTGTTGTCACCTCCCATAGACGAACTCTCGAGACTTTCGCGAACGGCTTCATTCATGGATGGGTAAATGATACGTCCCGCTGCCCGCATACTTCGGCTCCGCCCAGACTACTGCTCGATGCTGCTCATGTAGCTCTGCTGTCTGCAGACACTTTGGGCAAAAATCGTCCCGCACGCACACTCAGACGGCCTAGTCTCGGACGCTATCTGGTTGCCACGTTGATCATGGCTGCTCAGGCAACATCACCCCCGAACCTACCTACGTAGGCACATCACCTTTTGCATGCGTGCGTTTCTCCACTCTCGGTATATGGCATACCACTGCATTCCACATGCGGAAAAAGGGACCTTGCCAGTCAAGACCGGGGTCAATCCTACGTACCTGGCTTGACCAGGAACAAAAGCCTCACGATCGTTGGCTGCCACCATCATTGCCCCATGTGTGTGTGAGTGGAGGTGAACATGTGTGTGTGTGTGTGTGTGTGTGCCACCGGGGGAGGGTGTGCAATCCATGCCCGGTCTCCCGTGTCCTCGTCGTGCTGCCTGAAATACTGTGCACGTACAGCATACCCTCCTTCAGTTCATGAACCCCTGAACGATTCGGTTGATGCAGCGAGCGACTAGAGATATCGGGCTGGCGACTTTGTATGGCCAGAATGCATCGCAACGAGAGCCTTCGAAGCCCTCTGTCGCTACGACAGGCACCGGTCCTAAAGCTTCGAATCTTAGGGAATATCAGAGGCCTCTGCTGCTCACCTTCGTCATCAGCTTCGGCCGAGTATTTCTTGAGAGTACTGTTTCTGCAACAGTCGAGCTCTGTCGTAGCTTCCTCGAGCCAATAAAGCAAGTAAGCAACACTGATGCTCATCGCGGCCGCCGCTGGGGCGTCCCCCCCTCCCCCCGCTTGGCTTCTTCTCCCCTCGGCCGTGGCCGGGCCCGCAGGAGGCGACACCTGTCAGACCAGGATGCTCGGTCTACCTGTTCCTGCCGAGCAGATTGGGCTGGATCGATGCCGGTCCCTGTTTGATGCCATTCTTCGCTTCTCGGTGAAATGGACCTCCTTGACTGGTCAGAATACTCGTCGTGGGGGGACGTAAGACCGTTCTTTCGTCTCGCAGAAAGCCTATGATGCAGGGATGAACCCCTTTTCTGCCAGCGCATCTGCTTCAGTGGAACCCCATCAGATGTTTTCTCTTCTGAACTGAACTAGCATTCTACCAATTGTGTTATTAATGCCCTTGCTCTCCAACCTCAAGCCCGCGACTTACGATGTGGTGTTGGGCGTGTAAACATGCAGCTGTGGCGTCTTGACCACCTACATCAATTCAGGACTACTTCTTCTGATATCAAGGTGGTGCTTTCCCAGTTGACGGGAAACAATAATCATTGACATGACTCGAAGAAAATTCCATCTAGCAATGTCGGGACGCCTTGAGGGCCTTGGCGTCGTGTCTACCGACTTGATCCATCGTCAGGCATCGAGAGCGGTTGGAGATGGCCACGGCCGGGCCGCCTCAGCATGCGGCCGGTTTAGATCACAGGCCGCCCCCAACGAACGAAGAACAAGGCTCACTGTTCGCCACACATGAGCGGGCAGAGGCTGGGGGCCCTCTGCACGAGACATGATTGTCACCAACACACTCGCCATGTTGCTTGAATAACATTGTGGTCCCTGACGCTATGTACTTCAGGCAGCCTGGCCTGTTGTAAAGCGACCCCGGGCTACTTAACCTTGTCTCACCTCGACCTCGCCTCAACCTGGTCTGAGTATTCTTGACTTTGAGGTGGTGTACTTACCGCAGCACCCCGGTCTCACATGAGGCCGCCTGAAGGCTACAAGGAACACGATCTACTGATCCCCGTTCCTCCGCAAACGTTACACAGATCAGTAACCAGGTAACCCCTGGTCTTCTCCTTCTTGCCAAAGCTGCGCGTCGTGCCGGCCGATTCACTGAGGCCAGGGCAACGTGGCGACCGCCCTCTGGCCATGGCCCCCAGCAGGCTGCCTTGCATATGCCTGGCTTCTGTCTGCATTTGCTCCGCGCAACAGCGGACTCTGCGAAAAGCGTGGCATGGACCGGAAGATCTCAACGCGGCCCAGACAAGCCAGCAATTCAACAATGAGTGCTTTCTGGAGACTTCAACATGGATCACATTCAGTGCCATGAAGTCGATCATGCCTCACCCGGCATCACAGGTCTGATGAAAATCAACGCCATCAACGGAGAATCGTGATGTACAAAATTAGCTTGGACTCACATCACTCCAGTCGGAACGACAGATAGTCTGGTGGGCTGCTTCAACAAATAAACAACCCTAGCAGCAGCCTCGGTGTCTGAAAACCTCATAGTCGGTCTCACAAGATGCGAAGACATGCAGAAACGGCTCGCGGAAGCTCGGGTCGCAGCCTATTGGAGGCCATGTCGTACGCACACCATTTTCAAAGACTTTGGAGGGTCTGTGGAAAAGAGGCGAAGAAGAAAAAGCAAGGCGAGGGCTCGAAGCAAGAGGTCTCATCCGTATCCGAGGACCATGACGAGAGTGCCACTCGGTCAGCCGACGCAGATGAGCCTGAATACATGAGCCCAACGCTCTTTATGCTGTGATGATATCGGTACCCTGCAGACTTCGACTTCCCTCAAGAACGGCAATCGGGGATCTAAGCCGACAAAACAGGCAGAAAGCGCCGTATGAAGACGGACATGGGGGTTTACTGCAGCCTGCATGGAGGAGGCCGGCTTCACCCACCGCGAACGGGGGTCTTGCTCTGCGAGTGACGCGCAGAAGTATGGGCCACGGCGATCAGGACCGATGTACGCTGTGAGAAGAGCTCTTCTGCAAGGGTCAAGAAGCCTCACTCTTCGGGGGTCTAGGTGAGAGCAGGGCTGGCAGCCTAGGCATTCGGAGTGATGTGCTGGCAATACGACTCCTCTTCCCTTTCTGGCGAGCCTTGCGTTCTCGTCCCCTTTGGCATCCGGTTTTTTCGGAGTTCCTCTTCACACTGTTTGACCGATCGTCGATCTTCGCTCCTAACGCCCTGTATGTGAACAGTGCTCTACGGCGTATACACCTGGCTACCTATCGCCAAGATGCGAAACATCGTGGTTAAAGGAGACCGGCAACACTGTGCAGAGCAGTAAAAACAGACAATGGGGCGTAGTGTAGATGATGATCATGGCACTAGCACAGCCTGACTGTTAGCGGTCAATTCTGGCCGTTCCTCAGCTGAGCGGTATCGTCGTGACCAATATACGGGCCTTACCGTGGCCGCCATGGCTACATCCAGCGGGCCAGTCATCCACACAGGCGTTTCGCGAAACAGAAATGGCACGTTGGCTAAGTATAGGAGTCTTGGGCCCAGTCAAGAAGCTAGAAATAAATGGATTTTGGAGGCCAGTCACATGCCTGGTCGCCCAGTTGGTCTGTCGTAGTTGCATTCATCGTCTTCGTAAAGTGCTTGGCTCACGACCTGTCTCGTAGTCACAACATCATTCGCTTTGCTTCGGGTAGGTTGGATCTACTTTGTGAACTAGGGAAAATGCATGACAAGGCCAGGCGGGTGGATGTCTCTGAACCCATTGCTATGCTATCATGAAGCCACTGGATATGCAAATTAAGAGAGAGGAGCAGACCCAGCTTCGTGGATCGTGTGGAAACCTGTGGAATGCATCTGTCATCGACCAACTATTGGACATGCTCTGCCGCAAGCTGCATATATGTCCAATGACGGGCAGCAAGTTCTTCAATCTTCTATTTGGCGTTGAACCGTGCACGTGGTGATTGGACAATATTGGCGATTGTATTCGTACAATTGGCGACTGTGACATGTCGATCTCCCGCAGGACGTTACCGCTTGCGCTCTTCCGTGCTCTAGCTGGCATATTTTAGGCCACTTGCAGGGGCCAGTGCCATGAGCCTGACAGTGGAAGCCGTGCGTTCGACTCGATTGACAAGAGGAACCACGAAAAGAAAGCGTCGGCAGGAGACCCGTGTCTGAGTATTGGGTCATGTTTCTGGTACAGCCGCATGGCAGGGCGCTACACGGAGTGATTGGTTGGCGCATCGGGCCCCAAAGAGCGGCCGCTCCACGACGCCGCATGCCGTCACAGTTGGCGACAACGACAGTAGAATCTCTGCCATGTCAAGACTTTTAAGTCATGATAAGAGCGTATCGGAAGGATCGGTAGTCTGCCACAAAGGTCGAAAGAACCATGGCAGCTTTCGTGGGCGGATTGGAGCCGGATCTGGATTGTGGGCTTTTCTCCAAACGCTGTATTCTGTGAAGCGCGTATGCTGTTGTGTCACCCTCCTGAGTGGCGGCCACAGAGACCCATCCTTCCGTCGTTGGATGTTGACACCGTCTTCTTTCACGGCCATTCTTCAGTGGCATTGTCCCTTTCCCCCGTCGTGCAAGAGAACACCTAGTGCAGGCCTGGGCATACCTGGCTGGCGGAGGCACGTCCGCTGCGCGGGTTGTTGGCTGTTCGGCATGGGGGCCTGAAATCGTAATCATCATTAGGATATGCCACATCATATCCGCACGCGCTGCTGCAAGGGAAGCTAAAAGAAGCTAGATGCCTCACTGAAAGTCACCTCCAGCAATCAGGCCATGACAGAGATGCCAGCAAGGCCCAACAGCCCACCCCGGTCACAAGTGTCGCGTTGCCTGGCAAGTACGCCGAAACGAAACAAGTCGGGGCTGTACGGAAGCCAGGAAGACCATGGTGTGCGATCTCAAACAGTGCATAATGATGACGACGTTGCCGCTTTCCATGTAGCGGCCCAAGAAGTGGCTGCGGGAAATGGGTTCAGCAACTCAGGCTTGGATACGTACTGGCGACAAGGCCCTCGTAAAATGGTTACATCACAACTCGTGACCAAGGTAGAAAGGAGCGCGGTTCGAGCGTGATACTTCACGTGTGCACTGGTAGCCCGAGTCATGCTGAGGTCGGTCAGATGTGATGCTTTGCCGCCTCGTCTCGGACTTGCCAACTCAATCGCAAGATTCAGGGGAAGGGGGGAACTCCCCCTCGATGATCCAGACAGTAGTCTTGTCATATAGGTGATTGTCCAGGCCCTGAATGGGATATGAGCTAGGTGAAGCGGGGTGGCAAGCCAACAACCCTGGCTTAAGACTTGGCCGGGCATGGGGTCTTGTTATGACCAAGGCGCTGACCGGGATTCCAGCCCCCGAAACTTCCGGCCCGCCAATTCGCTTGGAGTCGAGAAGGGGGACGGGCCGAGTGTGTTCCGTGGACGCTAAGATCTCGAGACGACGCTGTCTGTGTCCTTGTTCCTTGCCTACGTCGAGCTGGCCAGCCCTAGCTGCTGCGTCTACAGCGGGCCTGATTGGGGGCTTGGGGGCAAGATGGACTGGGAAGGCTTCGGCGACAGTTATGGCCGGAGACGCGACCAGAAGCGCGGCTTCAGTGAAATAGACTGCAGCGGGCGGACGGGCGGCTGCTGTGACCACTGCTGTTTCGTGTTCCATTTGAAAACCACGTGCGCCGTACGAGATGCACGATGGGCAAAAGTTGGCCATGAAGTGTAGATCATAGAACTGTGGGGGCCGCTTAACCGAACATCAAAAAAGATGCCGAGACACAGTGCCCGCTGGGTGTCATTCGCCTACAAATCGCGCTGGCCTTCCTATCTTCCGCACGGTATGCCCTGCCCCGCCCCGCTCCTCGTTGGCGCACGTCATGGCGCCTGCCGTGACATGACGAGGCCAGCTGACCAGCATCGTTCATTTCTCATTTGGTATCTGTAGCCTTGGGTCCAGGGTCCTCCAGCAACCTCTTCCCCGTCATCGCAACGCTAACGAACTGGCCGGCCATCATCCTGAATACTCTTTCCCCACCACTGGCATCCAGTCGCATAGCATCAGTTGGATGACCTGGACCAGCTGGAAGAGCGGCTACAGCGCCTCGACGGAGGATCTGCTTTGTGACAACGGAGGCACGGTTCGTCGTCAGCGTACGTGCCGTGTTGCGCCTGTCGACTTCGCAATCTGCGCTGCCATTCGTCTCGCGTCACAGTACTCGCCGATTTCGCGGCAACACGTCCCCGCTCGTCAGTCACAGCTTCCTTCTGGATTCTCGCCCCGGTAGACAAGAATATCTGGCGACGCTGGGAGGCGTGACTTTGCATAGTCGATCGTACAATCGCTTCGAGCGGCTCTCAACATATCCGACCCAATCTCCCTCCGCGAAGGTACAGGGCAATGTCATCCGAGCAGTCCCACCCTCACTTCGTGAGCCCCTCTGGGACCCTTGTCGGTGTCCCTGCTGTCACCCCCTCGCCGGCTGAGGCAGAAGGTGTACAGTACTGCGACCACGGTCATGATGGCGGCCGACCCTCGTTGGACCCAGTGATCGGCTCAAAGGCCATTGATACCCGACCGCATCCTCTGCCGTACACAGAGCAAGCAGCACAGCTCACCGACTGTTGGATCTCTTCGTTTGATTCTCATAGGGCAGAAGACCGTGACACGGAGCAAGTCCCCGCGAGTGCGAAGGCATCGCTGACGATCATGCCCAACGAAGTCTTACTCGACATCCTAGGCTTCCTTGACGTGAACGACTTGTTGTCCATCTCCAGGGTACGCATTTGACCCCGCAGTGCGCCTGAGACAGTTCCAGCTCCCGCCCCCCGTTGTCTCCTCGTCACCTCTGTCCGCCTTTCTCTCGCTATTTCCTCTTCCCACGCTCACTTACACACAACCGACCACGGCTGCGCTGTGTGCCAGCGGCCCATGTCCCCTCCTGGTCTTGTTTTGGTAGCATCTCCTGCTCAACTGACATATCGGGCTCAGATCAATCATCACCTCCGAACTCTGTCAATGGCACCAATACTTCACGCGTACCGCCTCCGTCTCAATCGCGCTATTCTCCCACCACTGTTAGCCACCAGGCCTCCACTTGCAGACCTGATCGCACGTTCCATATTTCTCACTAACACTACAGTCGTCTCGCGCCGCCTGGGCCGCTCTCTTGTCTCCATTCGACTTGCCCGTCGCTTAGCCAGAAGGCCGCCTGCCGAAGTTCTAGTCGAGCGCGCCGTCCTGCCGTACGAGTGTGTCCCTGGGCTAGCCGTCGTGCATGTTGCGCCAGGTCTGGTCGCCAAACGAAGAGCAATCGAGAAGGAACAGGTAAAGGACGGACTCCGAAGGTGGGTCGATGCCGTTTGGAAGCGTCAGGTGCTGCAGCGCGAAGAAGGCATGCGACAGTGGGAGCAGAGCCGTGGCATCGGGCGAGTCTGGCGATTGAGGAAATTCTGGGAGAGGGTCGGCAGTGGTGAGCGTCTACCTGTCTGATGTGAGGTCCCTCACTCAGTGGGCCATGAGAGGTACTCTTGGTAAGATGCGATGGACGCTGGCACGTCCATTATGATGTCTGTTCGAACTTGGCCGAACCATGTTTCTCTCCCGTCCCCCTTGCGCAGGTTTGTCTGTTGTAATTTGTAAAGGCTTGTTTCAGATCAGTCGTTTTGTCCCATGTAGTGTCAGCCGCTTCCACCCGCGTGGTACAGTTGCTTGACGGATATACATGATCACGTGAGTCACTGGCCAGACCAGCCGCACCGAGAACAAGTATACATAATGACCCCACATGAGCTCCAGTCGTGCCAATCGCGCCAATCGTGTGTTGCCATGGGTGGCGGGGCTACAATCTCATATGCTTCCCAAGCGGGTTGGGTCGAGGAATGCGACAACGCTCGATCGTGTCTCCAGCTTCACAACCACAAGTCATTGGGACCTTTGCCTTGCCGCTGACAGTGTCTGTATCATCCTTTCCACAGCCGATAGAACTGTCAACATTGCAGCTGCCATGGACGATCAGTTTGGCGGTCGCACCGACGACGATTTGTTCTCCGACGACTTCGAGCCCCTCACCAATGCTGTCACCGAGGTCCCTCCGCCGCCCGCGCCTGTAATCGCACCAGCGCAAGGTGCGCCTCCAAATCAGGCTGTCGAGATCCCTGCTGGAAAGCCCGATAGATCACCGGCGCCTGCACCCGTCAAGGCGAAACCTGTGGTCAAAGGTTTGGCGCACTCAAAGTACAGCGACAAGCCTGCCCCGCGCCCTCCACGTCAGCCTGCCGCCAACAGCCCCTCGAACGCCAGCAAACCGAGCACACACCAGAAGCCGGCCGTCAACTCGCCGGCCGCCAGCCAGCCGGCGGCAAGCCAAGAAGCTCCAAACCAGGAGGCCTCCAGTCCGAGCCACGCGGCCCAGCCAGGCAGCGCGAGCAATGACACGGCACCCCCTCCGTCCGCTCCCACTGGCCCCAGCGCAGGACCAAACGCGCCGCGCGCGGGCAAAAAGACATCGGGAGTAGCACTGCCAGGCCAGAACACGGCGCTCAAGTCGGAATCGCGCATCAAGTCGGGGGCTAACCCGCGGACAAAACTCACCGAGGGCGAGTTGACCGAGAGATTGGAGAAGATGGCAATCCTGAGTGCCGAGAAGGCGCGCAAACATGAACTGTCCGAGGCCGATGAGCGAACCCACGCCGCTGCTTATGCCCACGGTATGGAGGAGGCAAAGAAAAAGAAGGCTGCCGAGGCTGAGCGCAGGAAACGTGGGGAGGAGGAGCGGCGGCGGATGGATGCTGAACGAGCCAAGAACCGTGAAGCGGGAAGCTCAAGGCCATGGAAAACAAGACGGGCGGCTGGGACCAGGGCAAGATCGAAGAACAAGAACCAGGGAAGGGGAGTTTCGA